GCACTAATTTTCCCTTATATTGATGGCCCTTCACTGCACTCAGATCCATTGACATTCAATGCTATTGGTATGAAGACATTTTTTGCTAACATTTACAAGCATACAATGCAAATTGGAGTCACCTGCCTCCTAGCAACAAAGTACTCTGGTTGTCAGGAGCTAGAAGGCAGGCGGCCCCAGCCACGTTGCATCCTTTGTTGCTAGGAGGCAGTCAGCACTATTGGTGGCGGCTGCTGCTCAGGGCCAACATGTCCTTAGTTACACATAATCCGCTCATTTAGGGCCTACTAGTGTCCTTTGTTGCTGGGGTGTTGGCAGCTCGAGCCAATACAGTTGTACACATGTAAGCCCTACAGAAAGGTTTACATACCTAAAACATACAGAAAACATTTCACAGCTTCTGGCAGCAAAGTCCAGTGTTGATGGGCGTATTTTTAATGGTGTCCATGTGCATGATATCATTACGGTATTTTTTCTTTTACAAAATATTTATTGAGATTTTCAAAAATAACATACAGTGCAAGCTCTAAATATAAAAAAATAATACATAAGATAATAAAGTAGTAATATGAAGATCATATCGGCCAGTGGGTTGGTGACAATGAGAGCAGTGTAACACAAGGCGGCTGTTGATATAATAACAGCCCAAGAAGGCTGCCAACCAAAACACAGGTATACACTTGCACAAGAGATTGTTTCAACTCGTCGGGACTGCACGTCGTAATTGATCGGGGCCACCTACGACCTTAGGGAGGAGGCGGTAACGGCACTCTGAATACGCTTGTGGACAAAAAGCCCATAAGGGCCCAAAACCTAAAATATAGTGAGAATGAAGAGAAAGAAGAAGAGGGAGAAGAAAGAGGGGTGTAGAAGATGAAGGGTGTGGGGGGTAGGGTCCCGTAGGAGACCACCACATAGACACAATGAGGGCTGCATCCGTGTTCTCAGGTTGAGAGCAAAGAGCGGTCCAGGAGCAAATTGGCATTATGTGCGATCCATGGATCCCACACTTTCAGAAACAAAAAATAAAGGTGAGCTTCTCATGCACCATAGTCCACATACGTCGGTTCCTAACCTCGGCTACGTGAATGAACTCTTGATGCTAGGCTGTAGCTAAGCTTTGGCTGGCCGCCAGGAAAACAAAGCCCACCCATCTCCGCTGGTGTTTGGACAAAGCTTCTACAGCTTAATGTAATAAGGCTTCCCATGGGTTACGTGCCAGGAGCACAGCAAAGATGGTTCTAATCCAGGTATGTACTGTACTTGAGACCAGAAATAGATCACTTTAGGGCACGTCCACCAAATGTGGAGTAGGGTATCCGGCTCCCTACAGCCCCAAAAGCACGGTATTCGTTTCTTAAAAACAAGCATGACATGACAGAAACATCCTCTGTACCATCACTTTCACTTTCCTGCTTTTCATAAACCTGGAAACTCCCTATCCTCTAATGTTTATAGTCATAGAATGCAAGTTCAAGAGAAGATTTGCGTGACCAGCCTGTTGGAGGAAATGTTGCAAAGCCGGTCACATGACGGTCTTCTATTTTTTCTTCTAGAAGTTTCTTTTATCTACATGACATCTCAACCAAACAGGAAAACATGCTCGTCACTAACTTGTTTATCGTTCGCTCTGCTCTCCTCGGCATCTAGTCTGTTTTTCAGCTTTCTGTGATGGAGTTTGTGTGGGGAGCTTATGGTGGCTGACCTTTAAAGACCAAAACCTGTCCACCAGGGTCTACAGCCATGGTGCCCAACCTGCAGCCCTATGGCACTTACTGTGCAGCCCTCAGAGCCTCTGTAGATAGTAGTCTGTGTTTTCCTTACCTAGAGGCTAACTCCCCTCCCCTGAATATTCTTAAGCCTGGCTTCCATTAGTTAAATGTCTTGGTTTATTGCTTTCCTACTATCTTGGCTTGTCTGTGCTGTCCATTCCTTTCTCTTCTTTGGTGTTTTTCCTCTATTTCTTTTATCATAGATCTTGCTGCAGCATAAGTAGGTTGTAGTGAGCACAATGTTGGGGGCAAGAAAGGCAGTGATCTAACAGTCTCTTGTAATGTATCTCCATTTTTTGGAGTCCCCGGTCTCCTGAAGCACGTCCCCAGTCTCTGACCTTCTCTTGTAGCAGTGTCTATGACCATATCCTGTTGCATGTCCAAGGTCTATGACCGTTTTCTGTAGCATTATATTCCATGAATAATATATGCAGTCTTTTGGTGATACCAGGGGCGATATCACCAAGAACATGTCTACAAGCTACTTCTCTCCATCTAACTTAAAGTGGTTGTGAACCTCAGACATAAAATATGAACAAAGCATATCCTTCTATAGTGTGTATGTGTCTCAGTCCAGAGCACAAAGGCTCTGTTCCCACTAGTGCGGCTTGTCATGTGACTTTGGACACACAGGTGGTTGGTTTACTAAAGGGAAATAGACTGTGCACTTTGCAAAGTGCAGTTGCTCCAGAGCTTAGTAAATTATTATTATTATTATACAGTATTTATATGGCGCCAAAGGGTTTGCTCAGCGCTGTACAGTAGCAAGGGGGACAGAACATGAGACAATACAGTAACAATACAATACACGAGGGGTTCGAGGGCTCTGCTCTTTCGAGCTTACAATCTAGGAGAGAAGACTGCGTTGGCTGGATAGTAAATGAGGTAAAGCTTCATTTTGCAAAGAATACCTAATCACATGCAAGGAAAATGTAAAAAATACAGCCTTTTTACTTGCACATGATTGGATGATAGAAGATAGCAGAGCTTCTGCTTATTTACTAAGCCCTGGCGCAACTGTTCTTGCAGAGTGCAACTGCACTTTGCAAAGTGCAAGTCCATCTGCCTTTAGTAAATCAACCTTATAAAGTCGCATGACAAGTGACAGCCCATTGATTTCAATGGCACCCATTCCAATCCATGCAACTTAAAATTGCAGCAACTTTGAAAAGGTTCCTGCACTACTTTGATGCGACTTGAGTGCCAGAGAGTGTAAAGAGTGCATCAAAATTACACTCCAAAGTTGCACTCGAAATCGTGTGACTTTGTAGTTGCACTAGATGGAAAAGAGCCTATGTGTTATTTCTATCTGCTGCTTCATTCATTTGCCATCAGCATGAATCCCTTCTGACAAGTTTTCCTGACACCAAGAGAAAAATGGTGACAGGGGAGGGAGCTCCAGCAGAGTGACAGCCTCAGCTCTGTTCCTGTGTGCTGTATGAAGAGGGAGTGTCCCTTCCCTCCAATCAGCTCTCAGAGCTCTCTTCGCTGAGCTCTGCAGACTGTAACTTCAGCTCTCCACCCCCCTTTGTCTGACCTCTAAGACAAACTTTATAATTCTGGACTTTGGCTGTAGAGAAGAGAAGTTGCAGATAAGCAGGTACAACTTATGTAGGAGCATTTGTTTAATCTCTGTGTATCACTGCGTGATACTGTATTAATCTCTGTGTGAGGCCGGTCACTTCACTGGGTATATGTAATGGTTTACAACCACTTTAAAGTGGACCAAGCATCATATATGCACATGCATGCTTGGTAATGCGTAAATGTAACACTTTGAGGTATTTATTACCTTCAACAAGATCACAGCGCTCCTTCTCATGACGCTTTCATCTGGTTTTCTCTCCAGAAGGATGGAGCCATCCCTGAAAAATCCTGGGGACCTGTGGAGTCCTTGGCTGTGTTCCAAAATGTTTAACGCAGATCATCATCTGCTACAGCATCTCACCAAGTTCCCATGTTGCAGTTTAGGCTAGGACACACCTATGCAGGTTGCGTTTCTGCATTGCGTTTTGCATTTTTGATGCGTTTTGCAGGTTTTTTGTAATTTTTTTTCTTGTTGCTAGGCAGATTTAAAATGCATCAAAACTGCAGCAAAAACACAATACATGCTTTTCTGCAGCATTTCCATTGCAGTCTATAGAACCGAAAACACAACTTTTTGTGTTAAAAAAAAGTCCCTGACCCATTCCAGAAAACACACCGGAGTGAAAAAGCACAGTTGTGAACATGTCCTATAGGAAATCATGTTAAATGGGCTGTACTGAGTTTCTGCAAAAGGCAAAACTCTGCAGAAAATGCTTAGATGTGAACCTAGGGTTAGGCTAAGTTCACACCTATACAGGTTGTACTTGAGCCTTTTCTGTATTGCGTTTTGCGTTGAGTTTTGCATTTTTGATGCGTTTTTTGTCATTTTTTTTTTTCTATTGTTGCTAGGCAGATTTAAAATGCCAAAAACGCATCAAAAGTGTGGCAAAAACACAATCCATGCTTTTCTGCAGCATTTCCATTGAAGTCGCATTTTTGATCAGTTTTTTGCGTTTTTTGTTTCATTCTTGAAAAACTTTTCTTCTTGCTAGGCAGATTTTAAAAATCAAAATGCATCAAAAACATGGCAAAAATGCAGCAAAAACGTAATACATGCTTTTCTGCAGCGTTTCCATTGAAGTCTATAGAACCAAAAACGCAACTTTTTGCGTTCAAAAAAGTCCCTGACCCATTCCAAAAATGCATCAGCTGAAAACACACAGGTTATTTTTTTGCATGGAAATATGTATTTTTTTTTTATTGTAGGCCTGTAATTTTTAGGAATAACTCACTGAAATCTGTCCGAACAAGAGTCTATTAAACATCCCGGGTAGGATAGAACTTGAAACACAAAATCATAAATTATAATTTAATAAATAATCATAAAAAATAATATAATAATACATTTAATTCAATAATATAATCAAACCAAAAACACTGAAATTTGAAATATAGCGCCAAGTTCGCACATCGCTGAGCAAAGTCGCAAAATTGTTTTCAGTGTCTGATGACGAATTTCCCCACAAATCATCACTCAATTCACTCAAGTGGTTCTAATTTACAATTGCTGTTCTCTAGCTGATCTAAACCCGCTTTTGACCTAAAGGGACGCTTTTTGGACGCCATGGACTTTTCTCAGTTTCCAGGCAGAAAGAACAGTAAAAATGCAGGCAGGGCACAGGACAAAGCACTCGGGACAAAATGTATGTGAAATGGTTTGATACAGTAATGTTATACTATGTGATTTTAGTGAATGTCACTTTTTGTCATTTTCAAATTTCCCGCCGTTCTGTCCCCCGTACGTCTCGACGCTCGCAGGGGACGGAACCCAGATGACAGATGCCGGCATCCTCCGGATTACATTGCCAGGGACACTGCAGGAGGGACATCGCGGGAGCGCAGGACAAGGTAAGTGATCGAGGGATCGCGGAGCAGTGCCGCATGGTAAGCCCGAGTGTAGCTCGGGGTTACCGCTTGTGGTGCTGAAACTTTACCCCGAGCTACACTCGGGAATACCGCCAGGGAGGTTAATTGGACTGTACTGCGTTTCTGGAAAACACTGCAGAAAACGCTTAGGTGTGAACCTAGGGTCTTCCCTGCAACAGACTGATGGCATCATCTCAGCCTATGCAGTCTTTGTACTGCAGCCTAGGGAGAGATATTTAATGCGTTTTTTTTTTTTTGTTTTTTTGAGGATTACACTGTTGCTGTGTATTGTGACATCAGGAATGTATTAATGCCAAATTGCACATTTCCCGAAAGTTCCACCTGAATGTCAGAGAACAAAAATATGTGCGTCAATGGTGTGAATGGTTCCTAAGGATAGAGGTTAAGGAGGCTTTATTTAATTTAGAGAACTGCAATAACATTGAAGCTGTAATAGAATTGCCCTTCTAGCAGACACAAACCATTGCTTGCAGCTTTTTATACGATTTGCCTTCCTCATACCTTCATTTAGTGAGCACAACAAAAGCTTTTACCTAGAGGGGATAAAGTGGAACTTGACTGTATCTAATCACCACAAACTGAAAACATTATTCAGTTCATTTGTAATATACAAAGCAAACTCACTCATCTATCCATGTCTTTGAAACCCCCCCCCCACCACCCCCCCCTAGCATTTCTATCCATGGTGGCCATCTTGAGTAAGGGCATATGATTCATGTAGCATTTACTTCCTGAAATCCATCTGTCCTTAGCTTAGGCATGCAGGCAGGAGGGTGTGCTTAGCTGAGAAGGCCCCTCATGAAGACTCCTGGGATGTATGAGATAATTTTGGCCTAGGCCAGAAACCAGAAAGCAACTGAAAAAAGTTAAAAAAAAAAAAAAAAGAGTTTAAAATAAGTAAATATAATACACCTTCAGATCCATTTACTAAGGCCAGCAGCAGAAGCATTACAAATAGTTCATGTTGATTGAGAGAGTTTTGTTCTGCTTTAACCACTTGCCATCCGCCTGCTGTTTATAAACGGCAGGACAGTGGCACTCCAGGGGCGGGTTGTCGTTCATAAATGGCACCTGCCTTTTCTAGCTGTGCGTGCTCCCTGGGAGCACGCAGCACCGCGATCCGGTGCACGCTGTATCCTCTGGACACAGTGAAACACCGATCGTTGGACGGGACCTCTGTACGAGGTCCCTTTCATGTGATCACTGATTGGCCAATCAGTGATCACATACAAAGTAGTAAGCAAGATGTCACTTGCTTACTACGTGTGAAATCTGTGAATGATCACAGAGGTCACATGGTACAGGGCTATTCACAACAGCCTTGTACCATGTGACAAGCTGTGATCAATCACAGCTCACTCAGTAGTTCTCAATGGCTGCAAGAATGCAGACAGAGAGAAAGAGAAATGATTGCTTTTACATCATATATGGGTGTAAAAGCAATCACTGTAAAAAAAAAAAATCTTCATCACCCCCCACAAGTAGTACAGTGTCACCATGGTGACACTGTACTGCTAGGGTGACAGTATTTAAAAAAACAAACAAAACATAAATAATATAAAAAAAAAAAAAAATGTAAATAAAAATGTTTAAAAATTATCATTTTTGGTTATAAACTAATTTGGCTTATTTTTTTTTTTATTATATTAAAAAGATAACGGAATACATTTCGGCCAAGATTTATGATGGAAGATTATTTATTTCCAAAATTTTATAAGAAAAACACTTTTTTTCAAAATTTTTGGACATTATCATTTACATAGCAAAAAAAAATAAAAATCCCGGCGGTGAATAAATACCACCAAAACAAAGCTTTATCTGTCTCAAAAAATGGTAAAAATTCATATGGGTACAGTGTTGCATGACCGCGCAATTGTCATTCAAAGTGTGATAGTGCTGAAAGCTGAAAATTGCCCTGGACAGGAAGGGGGTAAAAGTGTCCGTACTGGAAGTGGTTAAAGTTTATTTTTAATCCCTCAGAGTCTTGCTTGCGTTGAGTGTAGCTAAGTTGGTGAAAGCGATATGGATTTAACCAGTCTGGCCACATTTTGCAAGATCTTCCTTCTATTTTTCAGACCTGTGGTTGCACCTTCCCCTCTTTTTTTTTTTTTTTTTTTTTTTTTTTTTTTTTTTTCTTCATTGCTAGCTTATTTGTCTAATATAAACAGTTTTTCCAGCAAGTGATGCCATCAGGTGAACCTTGTGGCCTCTTGACTCTTGACCTGGCCCTTTTTCTTGGCTAGTTGGTGCTCAGATCAGGTGTTTTTTTTTCATAGAATGGTGTCAGTATTTTTTTTCAGTATTTTCAACAGCAATATACTGCTTGTTACTCCAAAAACCCCCCAAAAACAGGGAATTCTATCTTACTTACCTTGTTTTCCATTCCTGGTGCCAATCATGGCAGCTTACTGACCACCATGTACTGTATGCTGTCATCTCAGTCTCCGACACAAGGTAGACCTTTTACACTGATCCTGCCATCCTACTGTGTATCCCTAGTTTGCAGTTCTATGCCCTTTCCACAGCTCCCGGGCAAAACTTCCGACAGGGTGTTTTCTGCTGCACCCGGTATCCAACGGATTACGTTCTTAAATATTTTTGTTTTTATCAGATAATGCATATTCGATCACCAGCAATATCTCCTGATGAAGTGAACTGATTTTAATGAAACGCGTTGAAAATTCTGGCATTGCTTAGCCATCCTTTTTTCTTGTGTCTTTAATTTCACCGTAAAGTGACTTTTGTATATGTATTGCTGATGAATGTACTCTTGTTACGTGTGTGGATTTTGTATACCAGCCTGGATGGTTTTTTTGACAATTATTTGTGTATTTTGAAAAAAAAATTACAAGATTTTTAATATTGGATTGTTTATAAGGTGTACATCTTAAGTCCCATGGGTACTTTGTGTGAGAGAATTCCGTTAGCTGACCTCCATCATTGTAGTGTGTGGGCTATGGCGTAATACAGGGGTTGGCACGCAATGTCTTCCATGTTGGCTTGTGGAGAATGGGGAAAGTTTAAAAGTTGTGGTCTGGAAGGTAGTGGGGCATTGTCAGACTGGATAGGGCCCTGTGATTTCTAATGGTTCCCCTGTCTGGCGCTTTCAATTTCATAGAAACATTTTTCAGCACACCAGGCTCAAAATATTGGCCAACCCTGGTGAAATAGATTGTCCTGTGCAAAACCCTTTTTTCTACTTTAACAAAAATATCTATATCGTTTATAAATAATTTTATGTTTCTTTTCTTCTCTATTAGTGGATGAAGAATTGGTTTCAGCTGGACAGCAGTCGATATCTCAGATGCTGGTTCTTCAATGTCAACATTTCTCGCAGTGACAGCCGTTTGCTCCTTCAACTCAATGACATGTCTGAGTGGCAGACTGGGCCATACCGCTGTGTGAGCACTTCGAATGACACCAACGAAGTATCGGAAAACTTCACCGTCCCTGTAATCTGTGAGTATAAATATTTCAGATGTTTTCAGCCTTCAGTATGACTCCATGCAAGTCCCAAATTTCAACTTTAGGAGGGTAGTTGAAGGGTCAGTTCATTCAAAACTGATATGTCAGGGTGTTGTGAATACTGGAGTTGGCTTTTATGTTTTTGAAGGGAGCGAAGTTCCTGGGTCTGCCCCATTCTGATGAGTTCCTACCATCCCTGCTGGAATTTTTAGTTGATATTATGGAGAATCTAGCAGGAGGAGCTGGAATATACAACAATGGGATAACCAATAGCAGAGGTAGGAACTTATAGTGGCAAGACTTGCCACCTAAGGCCACAAAAGTCATAAGAAGGCCATCGGCAACTCAGACTTTACCAATAGGTGAAATATAACTGTTGGATATTCTATCTCTTTAACTTTCTATCCTATGTGATTGGTGCCTATGTCTATAGTTATAGCAGTCTAAAAGGTGGCTTAAAAATGGCTTTTCATGCTGAAGTGGGAAAACCCTTTTTATTTAATTGAGTTTCGCACTATAATTGAATTAAATGGTTGGTCCAGCCAAAGTAGTTCAGTTGTGAGAGGATATTGACATGTGGGGGTTGATTTACTGGAGGCAAATAAACAGTTGCTGTTTCAAGGGAAGTTGCCTCAGAGCTTAGTGAATGAGTGGAAGCTCTGCTGACTTCAATCATCCATCATCCAATTATTTTTTTTTTTTTTTTTTTGCATGATGAGATTCGGTATTCCTTGGAAAGTGAAATTTAACCACATTGGTTAAACTTTGGGGCAAATTCCCTTGCAAGGTACAACTTCTCTTGCAAAGTGAACAGCCTGATTGCCTTTAGTGAATTAGGCACGTTGAACCAACTGATGGCTTCTTGTATCTCCTAGGTACCCCAGTGTCAGAGTTCCAGGCTGTGGACTCCAGTTGTAACCTCTAAAAAGCCCGCAAAGGACTCTCAATTGGGGTGCACTAAAAATGGCAGTTTTAACCATGCCTGGACATGGTTCTACTCCTTCGTCTGGGCGATTGTGTAGTGTGAGTGCTCTGAACCATGCCGGGGAACGGTTAGGTGAACCGTGCCGGGGAACGGTTAGGTGAACCGTGCCGGGGAACGGTTAGGTGAACCGTGCCGGGGAACGGTTAGGTGAACCGTGCCGGGGAACGGTTAGGTGAACCGTGCCGGGGAACGGTTAGGTGAACCGTGCCGGGGAACGGTTAGGTGAACCGTGCCGGGGAACGGTTAGGTGAACCGTGCCGGGGAACGGTTAGGTGAACCGTGCCGGGGAACGGTTAGGTGAACCGTGCCGGGGAACGGTTAGGTGAACCGTGCCGGGGAACGGTTAGGTGAACCGTGCCGGGGAACGGTTAAGCATACTGTGCCCAGGGACCACTTGGAAGAGATGATCCTGGGGATGGTTCACTTGTCATCCCGTACAGTTCATATCATTGTGAGTGCAACCATGCCTGAGCACATAACTCCCCATAAATCAATGTGCACAGAAGCAGGAATCACTGTGGTCTGGTTGGCAGTGGTGACAATGTAAGTGTGCCTGGGAACAGTTGGGTATAGCCCAGTGTGAGTGCAAACCAGCGGGGAAGAGAAGACAATCAAATTGGCACAGTTCAGTTTAACCATGCCCAGTGTGAGTGCACCCTGAGGCCTGGTTCACATCTATGCGTGTTGTGATTAATGCGTTTTTTCCAGATCATATTGCGTTTTTGAACATGCATTTTTTGTGGGGTTTTTTTCACCAATAGGAAAGTATTGAATGCGACTTTACACTCTTTGGCACTCGGTCACATCAAAGTAGTAAAGGGACCTTTTCAAAGTCGCTGCAACTTTGAAAATGCTCCTGCACTACTTTGATGCAACTTTACCCTCTCTGGCACTCAAAGTCCATCAAAGTCGTGCAGGAACCTTTTTCAAACTGGCTGCAACTTTGAAAATGTTCCTGCACTACTTTTATACGACTTTATACTCTCTGGTACTTTTAAGTCGCATCAAAGTAGTTCAGGAACCTTTTCAAAATCGCAGTGACTTTGAAAATGTTTCTGCACTACTTTGATGTGACTGAGTGCCAGAGAATTTAAAGTCTCATCAGGCCAAATAAACTCCAACGTGTCAAAAATGCATTAAAACGCAACACTTGTGCTTTTGTTGCAGCTGCATTGCACCAGCAATCTGCTGCAGGAAAAAAAAGTTCCTGACTCTTTCCAAAAACGCAGCAGCTGAAAACGCATGGATGTGAACATGTCCCATATGAAACCTTGTTAATTGGACTGTAGTTGTTTCTGCAAAACGCACTAAAAAACGCATTGGTGTGAACCAGTCAGTCTCATTATGCTACACAGAATGTAAAAGAAATACAGAATTCAAGAATGAGAATGAGACCCCTTGTAATGGTTATGGACACGGCTAGAAGTTTAGATGCACAAATCTTACTGAGACCTGTGGGTGGTAGGAAATCCATTCATTTCTGTATATGGCTGCAGCAATATGAGGTTTTACCAGCAGGTAGCACTGTATATGAAATTTGCACTGGTACTGGTACTGGGAATTGCAGAAGTGGAGGAGGCTGACGTGTAGTGGTTTGGACTGGAAAGTCCTACATTTCTGTAAGTTCCCTTAATTTCTTTGTCAATCTTTTCTGGGAATCCCTTTATCTTCTCCCTGGAGATTCCAATAAGAAAGAACTGTAACAAGATAATAAATCAAGGGTCAGCCAACCATACAGCGACATCATTTGGCCCTGGGCTCTGGTGTATGTGTCCTAGATCTGCTGTGAGGTGCCCTGGGCCCCCAGCTGAGAGGCCAGCATGTTCATGAGGGGTAAGGGAGGAACCAGGGAAGGCAATATATAAGCAGATTAAACTTCAGTTATAATTTTGGGCTTCTTAAGCTACATAATTATAAACTCTTAAAATTATATTTGTATATATAGAATATAGTATGTACTCCGAAAAAGCACAGCTGTCATAGGGAATGATATTTCCTCGAGCAGGTAGATTCAGATCTATACATTGCGCTACCAGACAGAGGGTGTTCCATCTGTGAATACAAGAAAATGTAAAACCGTAACAGATATTCATTTCAAAGAAAACCCCCCGACAGCCCATATTGCAGGATTTATGGAAATGATTATAGATTACACAAGGCTATTTCTAATCACTAGAAATACATTGCTGAATTTTAATCCATGGTGCTATCTGACTGCTTCGATGATTGAATTTTCTTTCACAGCTATTTCAATGTGGATCAACCCTATTGAATCCCTGTGGGATGAGTTGGATCACCTTTTGCGTACTTACCAATTTTTCAGTCCCAGATTCCTGAGACATAATTAACCACACCATAGACAAGCCTGGCTAAGGTCCAGTTGGTCCTATCTAGACCCACCAATTACCGAGTGGACCACCCAAACACCACCTAATGAATGTTTGTGGCTTCCAATTATTGTAATCAATACCTGCACAGTAACTCAAAGGGGACACTGTGATCCTAGGACATGGCCCAGAACACAACTTTATCAGGACGGAGGTCCAAAATGAAGGACTCTTCTGACGGGACAACTGGCATCTATGCTGTTGCGAGCCAGGTCTTCTTGTCCAACATCAGTATCTGACCTCATGAATGCTTTTCTGGTTGAATGAATACAAATCCCCCTAGACACACTCCAAAATTTTCCAGATGAGTGGAGCCACATAGCGGAGGCAAAAACGTAATAATGCCCATGGTTTTGGAATGGGATGTCTGACAACTTAATTTAGATGTTATGGTAGTTGTCCACAAACACTGGGCCATACAGGGTATGTACAAAATGAAAAACATTCCCCTTAGTGTATGTCAAACCAAAAAACGTTTTCTAGTTTTGTATAAAATGGGGTAGGATTAGAACTCGATAGTTGTAGATGGGGTCTAACACACCTGTGCACGTGTGGTACCTTTTTTTTGCAAGCACGCCCACCAGTGCCGAAGACCAGGTGGAGACTGCGGTCATGTGGAAAGTCTAACATTAAGGCAGTTCCCCGACATAGAGGTGAGCTTTCACTGTGTGCAGTAAAATGACAGGGTTCCTCTGAAATGTGGTGTCCCATGTCACTACACATTGTCACTTCCATAGTTGTTGAATTAGGAGGGATGGGCTGAGCCTGCATCCACTCCACTCCACCAGTCTAGTGTACCTCTGTTACCTTACTTCTAGTAACAGATTGGGGTCCCGTCGAGCACATAGTGTGGACCTGAGGCATGCTCAATGTTACCCCTTCACTTCCCGTACCTTGTGGCCAGGTCATGGATCTCCATAAGGAGGGTGTACTCCTAGTTGCTATGGGAGATGGACAGTTCGGGAAAGAGTCAAACAGCAACCCTCTCACTACCAGAGGACCTGCCACCTTACCAGGTACTACACTTAACGACTGGTTGCTTTGTGTCTTGAACTTGCTCTTGGTTACTTTTAGCAACTTCATCACTCCTGCTTGACTTGCTGAGTTATTATTATACAGTATTTATATAGCGCCAACAGTTTGCTCAGCGCTGTACCCCTTTGTGCTTTACACAGACCCTGGTTCTTTTGGATACAGAACCAACATGTACCCCTTTTGAATAATTTAAGACCAGGCTCAAAACAGTTAATGTAACTTTACTGACAAAACTTCGGCATTGCAGTCTAATATGAACAATTCTTTACCCTAACACTATCTACATATGTGTGGCTGCCCAGGCATAATTCTGTGAGGTGGTAGTCCATATAGGTAAAGTCCATTGCTGGTGATCCTCTGGAACCCTCAAGTGTCTTCAGTGGACTGCAAGGTGCAGCAATCCCTTCCCTAGGTTGAGCCAAGCATGGGAAAAATGTTGGCCACAAAGTTCAGCCTTTCCCCTTTTTATATCACAAATGGATTGGATGAGACCCAAAAGCCTGGGAACAGAGAATAAATGGCTTAACCTTATCTCTCCTAGCCTGGGCCAGCCGCTAAATCATTAAAGCCAAGTTGCAACCTGCTTACATACTATTTGGGCCTCCATACAAAGATTTTCCAATCCTGCTGACAGCGGAATATACCAAGTAGGAATGAGGGAAAATCCTAAACCTACAAAAATAAAATTTGACATTGGTTCTGGCCTTCTCCTACTCTACTTTTCTTTTATTTCTGTCTGTGTTGCTGTTGGAGAGATCCCCTCACTTCCTGCTTGGTAAAACGACGTAGAGGAAGTCAGGGTAAATCTCTCTGAGAAGAAGACGTTAGCTCCCTTTTCACTTTGGACTATTTTCTTTAAGGCTTTTTTGCCTGTTTTGAAGGATAAGTTCACCTTTTGGAACATGGTGATACATGTGTATAGAAAACCTTCAGCACAATGAAACCTCCTAAATAGATGTGCAGTTAGCATATAATGTGTTCCCACATGTAACAAAGTAAATATAATAAAGAAATGCAGCGCAACAACAAACAAATATAATTGTGCTTACAGTCTTACGTGCGTGTATAAATGGTGATGATCAATCTGCTGTGCTCGTGAGGATCAATATATGCTACTCAAGCTATCTTCCAATGCATGCATATAGACTCCCATAGAGACTGCACACAATGCTATAAATATACCATAAATACACAAAATACAAAAATAAAAATAATCCTTAATAGTGATCTGTCCCAATAAATCCTAAATACCATCATGTGGACTTGTGTGGTACACTTCCTGTGTATGGTGATACAAATCCACCAACAAAAAGTGTCAACTGGATACAGTCTCAATGGTGGTGGACCGTCCCTTTAAATCTGCTGTACTTCAAGTGGACCAGTGTAAACACACTACTGTATAAACGTGTACGGTGCTCCTGTGACACCCCTTAGTGCTCTTCCACCTCCAACACACTATAACCCGGGAGGGCATAATGGTACACAGATCTTCACCACTGTTTGCCAGCACTTTTAAGCAGATCCAGATCACTCCATATCCATGTAAAAAAATGCTCAATATAGTGTAGTATTTTCTACTAAAATCAGCCTTTATTAAAACCATATAGTTCGACTCACATTAAAATGTGTCCTCCTGGTATTTGCTGTCAAGTGTATGTAGAAATCCCACTTTCAAAATGGCGGCACGTGGACTTCCGGGTAACAGCTTGACGTCATCCGGCGTTCACTACATGTTATGTCACATCACATGACTTCATCAGGAGTAGCCAATTGGATGTCAAGCCTTCCATTTATATCCATTCAGTGATTGTAATGCAGTGCATCTGTGCCGGTGCCATTTTGTTATAGACCGTCACATGGTCTCGGGCACCATTTTCTTGTGGACATATACATAGCAAATATGCATTGGTCTCACTCTGCAAGGAGGGATTACCATGGCAACTACTGTTAAATATATACACTCGGGTACATCTGGAAATGGACATTATGAGGTCTAATACATACTAGATCTCTCTATATATCTTCGTAAGGGGATTGTAAAAAGGTGTTTAACCTCCCTAGAGGTCTGATTATGTCAGTATTTCTGTGCTCAAAGCGGTACATTTTTTTGCATGGAAATATGTATTTTTTTTTATTGTAGGCCTGTAATTTTTAGGAATAACTCACTGAAATCTGTCCGAACAAGAGTCTAGTAAACATCCCGGGTATGTTAAAATTTGAAACACGAAATCATAAATTATAATTTAATAAATAATCATAAAAAAATAATATAATAAATTTAATTCAATAATGTAATCCAAAGCAAAAACACTGAAATTTGAAATATAGCGCCAAGTTCACACATCATTGAGCAAACTCGCAAAATCGTTTTCAGTGTCTAATGACGAATTTCCCCACAAATCATTATCACTCAATTCTGCAAGTGGTTCTAATTTACTATCGCTGTTCTCTAGCTGGTCTAAAACTGCTTTTGACCTAAAGGGACGCTTTTTGGACGCCATGGACATTTCTCAGTTTCCAGGCAGAAAGAACAGTAAAAATGTAGGCAGGGCGCAGGACAAAGCAGTAGGGACAAAATGTATGTGAAATGGTTTGATACAGTAATGTTTTACTATGTGATTTTAGTGTACTTGGTGAATGTCACTTTTTAAAATTTTTTAATTTCCCGCCGTTCCGTCCCTGTATGTCCTGACGTCGCAGGGAGCGTAACCCAGAAGACGGACACCGGCATAGGCCGGAGGACATTGCCGGGGACACTGCCGGAGGGACATCGCGGGAGCGAAGGACAAGGTAAGTGAAGAGATCCCGGAGCAACGCTGCAGTGTATTCCCGAGTGTAGCTCGGGGTTACCACTTGTGGTGCCGAAACTTTACCCCGAGCTACACTCGGGAATACCGCCAGGGAGGTTAATGATGGAGACATATGTAAATACCTAATAAGGCAGGACATTATATACTGGATCTCTCCATACTATGGTCGCTAAAGGTGCTTAATGATGGGGACATATATAAATATCTAATTTAAGCAGGAGGGTATACGTGATATAAATCCTAAATCTCTCTATACTCCTGATAATACCATATAGAAATATATAGGCAATACTAACAATGGGGATAAATAAAGTAAAATGAGGATATATGTAAACTTCTTTTTATCACCCCCATAGATATAAGGTGCTAATAATGGGTTTTATACATAAAATACTGTAGGGGGATATATAGAACATATATATATATATATATATATATAATATATATATATTATATATATATATATACACATACATACATATATGTATGCTGTTGAATTAACAGTACCCTTGACTGGGAACACCTGAAATTATTCAATTGTGGGCAGCACAGTGGCTAAGTGGCATTTACGCCTGACAGTACTAGGATCATTGGTTCGAATCCCAGCCACAGCACCACCTGCCTGGAGTTTGCATGTTCTCCTTGTGCCTGCGTGGGTTTCCTCCGGGTACTCTGGTTTCCTCCCACACTCCAAAGACATGCTGGTAGGTTAATTGGATCCTGTCTAACATGGCCCTAGTATGTGTATGTATGAATGCAAGTAAGGATTGTACACCCCTTGAGGGTTAGGGAATGGTGTGAATGAGCAATATACATATAAATAATGAACACTAAAAACTACCATACCAGGATAATATAACTCATACATGTGTGATATATGTCATGGGCATGTGAATCCATCAAACTGGCTGCATGCTATATACCATATAGATAAATTATGCGCTGTTGCGTATTGCCCTAGATGCATCTAACAGGTTGAGAAGAAGACTTTGGACTTCCCATTTCACTTTGGAGCATTTTCTTTAAGGGCTTTTTTGCCTGTTTTGAAGGATAAGATCACCTTGGGAACATGTTACATGTTCAACCCGTTTTTAGGGTGGAACATGTTACATGTTCCAATAGCTGCAACAGCAGAGCTTCACCCTCACGGCCACATCATTCATTCACGGACTTCCATGAATGAATGAACTGCAAGTCCTGACAGCCTTACCGGATGTGGGCTTGTAGTTTTCAATGAGCTACCACGGGTCTGTGGAGGGCCATGGTAGTTCATTGAAGCTTTCTGTCAGAATATCAGCTTGACCGTACATCCCATATGGCAAGCAGATATTCTGACAGGTCTGCAGGAGTCCTGCATGGCATCCACAATCTACTGATCACTGGTGCATTGCTTTCTAGGCTCCTTTGGATAAAAATAATAAATTAACATTTTTTTACCTGCAAACAAATGTGCGTTTATTATATTTCTCCAAAAGGTGAACTTATCCTTTGAATTGTTGTCCGTCTGGAGCATTTTGCGCTAGGCTAGGACTTCAAACATATATTAAATCTGTCTAAGCCTAGCACCTATCTAGGAGGGTGCTATATTAGCAACAAGGCAGGATGGAATGATGCCATCTGTGGGAGTTTTTCTGGCAGGCTTAGAAAGGTATGTACTTGGCCTACACCTATAAGCAAGGGCATTATCCAACTTTCGTCAAATCTACGCACTTTGTTTTTATCCACGGGCGCCCCTTACCTGCATGGGCAGTTTATTTGTAAAGGGCGCCCCTTAAAATGGGGAGTTTATTTAAAATGTCAATAACCCTTTAATAAAACTCAAAGCACCATTAGACTTTATATCCACTTTAAAGCGTATGGATTTTTTTTCCCCCCATATAATCGCAGGTTTGTGTGAATGAGGCCCAAAGCCTGTTTAGGCCTTGAAGGGCCCATGTGATGATGTCGGAGTGCTGATATTCCACTGACAGAATTAGCCAGTTTTCAGAGGCCGGAGAACTCGCTTTTATTACAGTGTTCGTCTTGGAACATTTGGCAAAGAAATAAAGAGATATTGGGCTTAGGATTGTTGGTTTGTGTTCTTTATAATGCTAGGAGTGATGGATGTGCTGTGATGGCACAGATATACAGTGAACCCCAGCGACCTCCATCAGGGGGGTCCAGCGTATCAGGCAGTCGAAGTGCTTAGTGGGGAACGCGGCGCCCTCAGAACACCTCACAGGGCCGTACATCGCAGGCCGCATCTTTCATCTAAAGGGCACAGGGAGGCCCGGGAACGTGATGAACACAACAATACACCAAATGAAAGCAGCAGGAGACAGAGAAAAATATCACGGGGCGATCACAAAATGTCACTAAGCCCCACAAAGAGCCACAGGAAATACATCAAATATTGAGATGGAGCCGCGTGTATAATGAGCGTCTGAGCGGGGCTGACGCTCTGATCGCGTCTCCAGAAACATGCTCGCCCGGGAGGGATCAGTCACACAGTGACAGGATGATGAGCGGATCGAACGCATAAGAAAAAAGCAATTAGCTGAGTGGATTCTGTTTATTTTCTGCTATAAAACCTCGTCTGTCAGATTGTCTGGCGGAAGAAATGTGGGTTGCCCCTAGCAACTCATCAACTCCACGGCGGTCGGGACGACAAGTGTTTTTTTTTTTTCTTCCCCCTGGGCGTCGGGGAAACATTGGGACGGGCTGTTATGATTTATTTCACTTATTGATTTAACACTTTTCCGCCGCAGCCATTTGCGAAGAACGCTCAAACGCTTTTACAGCTCGCAATTTACTGTCATTACCATAGTTGGTGGTAAAAAAAAAAAAAAATTTGAAAATTAATAAACAAAAAGTGTGAACTAACCAAATGTCTAATGTCTGTACCACCACTAGAGGGATTTTTCTTCATTTCCTGTTTTGGGACACCATGACACAGGGACAGGAAGTAAGTGGAAATCTCCCAGATGGTGACACAGATGCAAAAATAAAACCCAGCAGAGCTTCTTATACCCTTCCCTAGTTTGTTCAACATTAACATAAAAAATGGAGTGATTTGGGGCTTTAAAGAGCAAGTAAACTCTCAATTGACATTAAAGTATAACTAAGGGCAAAGCTTCTTTTTTTTTTTTTTTTGGTTAGAGTGGAAAGGGACTAGAACCCCTGTAAGTTTCTATTGCTGTTTGTGCCCCCATTACGGAGATTCACCCTCCCTATTTGTCCTGTTTACCATTATCATTGAGACTAAGAGTAAAGAAAACCCCAAACTTTGGGTTGTCCTCTCTATTGAGGGGAATCTTCTATAGGGGACACTAGTTCTGGTGACTTGGGGTCCCCAAGGAATTCCCTTAATTTGCAGGAATCTCCTCTCACTTCCTGTTTGGCTATGGGAAAGGAAGTGGAGGGAAATCTGCAATGGGACATAGATGGGGAAAAAAAATCTGAAAGGGGATATAACCTTCCCTTGCCCTATCCAAAAGGAAAAAAAAAGTTTTGCCTGTAGTTCTAGTTTAAATAATTGTAATCCTCATGCTGCTAGCATAAGTAAATAGATATGTATATTTTATTTACTTGTTTTACTTTTTATTTTTTTTTTTTCAGTTTATTCAATTGCTTCTTGCCCTAGGCCAACATGATCTCATACATCCCAGGAGTCTTCACGCAATTTTTTTTCATCTAGAGGAGGGGCTTTCTCAGCTAAGCACACCCTCCTACCTGCATGCCTGAGCTAAGAGCAGATGGATTCTAGGAAGTAAATACTACATAAATCATCTGTCCTTACTGAAGATGGCCACAGCTAGAAATGCTAGGGGGGTGTTTTTCAAAGTGATTCCTCAACAAAATAAAGTGTGGAGACGTGGTTGGATGGGGGAGTTTGCTTTGAATATTAACCATTTGACGCCCGGCTAATGGCTGTATGGTGGCCGGAAAAATGCACTAGCTTTCCGGGAGGCCGCCATTTGGCATACAGCCACGCATGCACAGTTCCGCGCGCTTGCAGAGCCGCCGCACATCTGCGGCCGTGTACCTCGGACACGGCCGATGACAGCCCCGTTTCCGGTACCATGTGACCTGCTGTGACCAATCACATCAGGTCACATGACAGTTGTATACAATGGATGGCTTAATTCATGCCATCCATTATATACTAGTGTCTAGCTGTGAATGGTCACAGCTAATTACATGCACATGTCATGTGATTAGCTGTGGCCAAATCACAGCTAAAGCACAAAAAAAAAAAAAACCCTGAATGAATCGATGTCATTCAAGTAAATGCTTGCTTATAGCAAAGTAATTCTTTGCTATAAGCAAATTGTGTAAAAAAAAAAAAAAAAAAATGCTGATCACTTCCCCAAAGTAGTACAATATTACTATGGTAACATTGTACTACTTTGGACATAGCAAAATATGAAAAAAAATCTTAAAAAAAAAGAAAAAAAATGTAATAAAAAATTTAATATAATATAATTTTTTTTATAAAAAATATAAAATTTTGTTTCACACTGTCCCCAGTCCGTGTCCCTGATCACCGCCATGCCAGTTATATGATGTCGCTGTACTGCACTGGTGACAGTATGTAAAAAAAAAATAGTGAAAATAATGTTTTTCATTTTCCGAAAAATTATGACAAAAAAAATACAACTTCAAAAAACTTGCCATGCCTCTTATGAAGTACGTCAGACTGTCTACTCTGCAAAAAGGGGTCATTTGGGGATATCTGTACTGTTCTGACATTCTTGGACCTCAAGAAATTAGATTGGCCGTCAGTACTTTAGGAGTGATCAATATTCAGATCTATACTATAACTTTCCTACAAACTAAAAAATACATCCTAATTTGGGTTATTTTCACCAAAGACATGTAACAGAATACATCTCGGCCTAAATTTATGAAGAACAATTATTTATTTGCAAACTTTTATAACAGAAACAAAGAAAAACGGTCTTTTTTTTGTTAATTTAGCAAAAAATAAAAACCCCAGCGATGATTAAATACCACCAAAAGAAAGCTCTAGTTGTGTGAAGATGATAAAATTTTAGTTTGGGTACAGTGTTGTATGACCGCGCAATTGTCATTCAAAGTGTGAGAGCGCTGAAACCTGAAAAATGGCCTGGGCAGGAAGGTGTATAATTGAATTGGTATTGAATTGGTTAAAAAGAATTAAAATGTGATTTCTGTTTGTGGTGCTCAGATACAGTTTATAGTCTGCTTTAATAGACCTCAGTGTTAAAAAGACATATTTTTTTTTGTTTAGTTTTGGTTAGCATTAGGAAGGGTTAAAATCCCTGACAAGTTTTTATTGCTGTCTGGGGAGATTCCTATTTGTCCTGGTGATTATCATTTCTGGTATAGAAAGTGATGGGACATCCAAAATATTTAAAGCAGAACTCTGGCCTTCCCTTCAGTCTTGTACAGTTGTACTGGTTCCTCTCCTGTACTGACATGGCTTACTCTGATTTTTTTGTATAAACCTGATGAATGTGACTTCTTTGTGAATGTGTTCCTATGTGTCGGACTGTCAATTGGCATTTTGCTGTCTTGTCTTAGATTTATTTGTTTTATTTCTGGTCTGCAGATCTGCAGGACATCTACTTCCAGAAGATGCATTCCTGGTACACCAGTATGTCTGAAGTCTTGTATGCAGAGGAAGGCTCTACGGTGGAGGTGAAGTGTACCGCGTCGTCCTCCCGCGAGCCCTACTATGAGTGGAGCCAGCAGGTGAGTGAGAGCAATGAGAACAGGCCTCTAAGAGTAGGGATTTAGCTTAGCATTGGGATAAATCCAATATTAATGCTGCTGCATATCTATGTATGTATAAATAAAAAGGAAGAGTCATAGATGTTTTTCAGAGAAGCAGACAAGAATGTCTGTCCTGGTACCGAAGATGTTCTACTACATCTATTGCAATGCTGGGCAAGGTGGCATAGCAACAGGTAAAGAAGATGCACCAAATGCTATTGGATTCATGACCCACCGAGTGCCAGACTCTGATTCTGGATGCTTGTTTTTTTGCCCCTTGAAAGAATGGAGGCTTCATTCCTGGTGTGTTTATTACAGAGCTCCTCCAGCAGAGTTGGAATGGCCACAAGTATGTGGACCCCTCTAAATGATTGAGTCCAGGTGTTTCCAGTGAAGGGTACTGTTAGTGCTACATCATACAAAGGCATTTTAGACAATTGCGCTCTTCCAACCTTCTCTAAGTTTGGTGAAGACCTTTATCTGTTCCACCATGACTTTACCCCTGTACCAGTTTGGTGAAGGCTCTTCTCTGTTCCACCAAGTCTTTATCCCAGTGTACAAAGCCAGCTCCATATAGATATGATTTGATGTGTTTGGTGCAGAGGACCTCAAGTGGCCTGCACAGAGACCTGACCTCAACCCCAACGAACACCTTGGAGATGAATTGGAATGTTGACTATGAACAGGTCTAAAGCTGGCTATATAGATTGTGAACTCAGACGATTTCCGAGGGAGCAGCCAAAATTCACTCAGTGGGTGGTCTTGCCAGGCCCAATCTATTGGACAAAAGTACATCAAAGCTGAATGGAAAATATTCAGCTAAACAGCAGCTGCATCCAGTCAAATTTAGCCGCTGTTTGGTATTTCAACAGCTTGCAGGGCCATCTGTCAAAATACAATATCTGCAATGGGGAATTCATTCATCCGCACTCGGGTATCGGGTAGGTTTTTTTTTTTTTTTTTTTTTAATCAGTTTGAAGGATGAACAAAAAAAAAAAACTATCAGTATATTGCCAGGTTAAAGTGATTGGTCAGCTCCGGTAGAGCCACTCTGATCCATCCCGGTATCCTTAGTGAAAGAAGAGGCAGGAATAGTGCGGTTTTCAAGCCCCAGGACCACTGCATCGAGCTGCATGGATGATGGGACTGGAGGGAAGGGGGATGTCGAGGATGTAGTGTGGAGAGGTAGGGTGGGAACCAGAGAACAGCAAGAATCACTGTAGTGGCAGCTACTACAGTGATTCTCTGGTTTCACAGGGTTTAGCCAGTTACAGAATATAGATTGCAGGACCATTCTAATTATGCAAAGAATACCTTACCTGTATATCCGGTTCGATTAATGTTGTAGCTAACAACTAGGAATGTGCAACTGTGCGCACTGTGAAATCGACAAATTCGTCATAGGGTTAGCTATAGAGGTATAGTCAAAAGGTGCACAGTGTACTTATAATGGTGCCACGTAGTTGTATATTACGTTTTTTTTTTTATTTTCCTTTGCAGGATAGTGACTGGATTTTACCCTCCGATACTCTCACCATCAAAAATGTTGATGAAAGCTCTGAAGGAACATATGTGTGCCAGGCTCGTCATCCAGATTTGTACACTCTGGTCAAGACAAGGTCCTTTAAACTCCGTGTGACCCCCAAGGATCCTGATATGTTCAGGATTGTAGGTGAGCAATACAACTTTCTACTGGCCTATCAGGGGCGGACTGACAACTCATGGGGCCCCTGGGCAAAAGGGGATCATGGGGCCCCTGTGTCCTTGCCCAAACTCAAAAAAGCCTATGAAAAGGTACCAGGGGCATCTCATGGGGCCCCCTACTGACCCTGGGCCCTCAGGCAGTGCCCGAGTTTCCAAATGGTCAGTCCGCCCCTGGGGACTATGAATGCTGTGGAGTACCTGCACCCTCATAGACACAGTCCGATGCCAGACAGTCTAGGCTCACATCAGTACATACAGTCCAACACTTACCTCTGCACTAAACAGAGCTTGTCATGAGTGCACAACACGTACTTGTAATGTTAACATTAATGAAGTATTCCAGGTATGGATATTTTTACATAGTTACATTGATCCAACTTAACAATGTAACTATGCATATATCATACCTGTGGGATTCTTCTAGAACAGCCTTTCTCAACCAGGGTTCCGTGGAACACTAATGTTCCTCCAGAGGTTTCTAGGGGTTCCTTGAGCAATGAGCAATTTCTGCCTCTCAGATAAGTTCCCACTGACACCAGTGATCTTTTTAGCTTTCTGTATGGGGGAGGGGAATTCTGCCCAATGACCACAAAAGTAAGAAACATTCTTCCAAGTAACCATCGCACTAATTTACCGTGAGCTGTAGATATAATAGTTACTAGCAGGTGTTCCCTGACACAGGCAAGTTGTTATAAGGCTTCATTTGTATTAAGAGCATTGAGAAAGGCTGCTCAAGGCGCTCAAAATCACTGTAGTAGACTAGGCTACTACAGTGATCTCTACTAGTTTCCAGGTCAGTTTTGGACGCTGGCGCCATTCAAGCTTTGCATTCAATACTTTGTACTTTCTCAATGAATGCAAAGCATTCTCTAATTGGATGAGGTGAAGAACATGATGTCACCACAAATCAATAAAAAAAGACCTCAGCGCCCAGGACCTCCTTCCCCACACACTTATCCACGTGAGATGCTGCTGTACATAGGTATAAAACCACAAAAAAAAATGTTTTCAAGTCAAAACAGCGCAAAACACACAAAAAACAATCTGTAAAATACCCAACCTATAAGTAATATTAGTGCAGATATTACAATTTATATATAAGTGTCAAAAACAAAATAATTTGTGACGCATACAAAAAACAAGAAAAGTCCAGTGACATGTCCAAAAAAAAAACGTCCCGTGATAAAAAAACAAACTTATATTTTCATAAATTTCTTCAGTGCCAATAATAGTCCTTCCACCATCCACCAGTGCAAAACCAACATGAACCGCCCTCACCAGATGTTTGGTGAGTATAACGCCTTTTAGGATTATTAAGGGCTCCCGATGATGTCACCAACCCACCTCTCCACCTAGTCCAATCAGAGAATGCTTTGCATTCATTGCGAGAATGCAAAACGATCTCTGAATGGCTCCCTGTGCCAAGCAGGCGATCTCCTGTGCTCACAATTCAGCTGGACAGCTGTTCGACATGGGATCCAGAAGCTAGTGAAGATTAACCCGTTTGCTGCCAGGTCCGTACGATGCACAGCGGGGGGGTTTACATACAATCTAGTGGCTGCAGCCTCTGGGATTGTGTATAAAACTGAAAGCAGACTCCTGCCTGTCAGGTGGATTGCTTCTACACACTTGGTGACAACCTCCACCCCCCCCCCCCCCCCCCCCCGCACACACAACTGCTCGCCCCCACACATTTCCTGCTCTCCTCCCCTTCTTGCTGGACCCAGAAAGCAACACCTATGATGTCATCCTGGGTCTGGGTCATCCTGTCACTTTCCTGTGCTAGAATAACCAGGGAAGAATGTATTGCAATGCAATCTGCATTGCAATATATTCAGTGGAGCCCAGAGGAGACATCCAGGGTCTATTAGACCTCCACATGTCTCATTAAGGAGAACCTGTCCCCTAAAAAAAAAGTTAAGCAAAAATTTTTTTTAATTGCAAATAAATAAAGTTACACCCAAGCACAACAACATCATCTCCCCCCCCCCCCCCCCCCCACATACACATGTACGAATTTAAACACATGCGTTGACGCATTAAAGCAGTGATTGCTAAACGCGTTACTTATCTGGTGTACATGATGTGCTGGCACCGCTCCAAACTGGGGTCCAGAGAAATCGCCTAACCAGCATGAAAGGGGGAGCGATGTCCTCAAATGGCTCCAGTCATCAAAGTCCTGCATGAATGTGAACGCCGCTCAGACCGCTCATAGAATCTTATGGTAAGATGGCCTCAGCCATCCTCTGGTCATGCTGAAGGGGAATGGCCGGAGTGACAGCTGAGCCCATCTTACCATAGGTTTCCATGAGCAGTCTGAGCGGCGTCCACAATCTTGCAGGACATGTTGCATATCGCAGCGCATGCCGGAGTGAGAGCAATAATTCTAGCAGAAGATCTCCTCTGTAACACTAAACTGATGACCTATAGGGGGCTTTTGAAGCATCGCCTATAGAAAATATATGGTACTGAAGTTTGTTGCCATTTCCCAAGGGCACACAAATTTAAGGTTTAACATTTTGGGTATTTATTTACTTGGTGCAACCTCATCTTTTATATTTTACCAAACATTTGGGTCAGTTATTGTGTTTGTTTGCCCTAAAATTCACTTTAGAAATGTGTTTCTTAGACCTTTTGCGGTAATATCTTTATTTTATCTTGCGGTAATAACATTGAACTACCACTATTTTCTTAGAGAGAAAATAGGTGGCGCACACACCTAGTGCATTATCAAGGTTTATTGTAGGAGTGAAAGAATAATAAAAACATACTCACAGACGAAGCATGTATCTAAAAAGCATAGAAAAATGACAATGGCCAAAACGGCAGGCAAGGTGTTCTCACGGTCAGTGTGGTCAAATGGCCGACGCGTTTCGGGGACGAATCCCTTTCCTCAGAACTGATGACCAGCCTCTGATGCTGTTGTATGATGAATGGAAAGTAAGAGCCTTGCTGTTGATGCCTGAGTGGGATGGTGTGGGAGTGTGCTTTATGCCTGTGGGGAAATGGATGCCATTAGAGGTTGGTCAACAGCTCTGAGGAAAGGGATTCGTCCCCGAAACACGTCAGACATTTGACCGCACTGACGGAACACCTTGCCTGCTGTTGTGGCCATTGTCATTTTTCTATGCTTTTTAGATACATGCTTCATCTGTGAGTATGTTTTTATTATTCTTTCACTCCTACAATAAATCTTGGATAATGCACTAGGTGTGTGCGCCACCTGTTTTCTCTCTATCCAGTGGCTGATTTCCCCGTCTGAGGAGGGCTGCACCCTGAAGCATTTCCTTTGGATGTCGCTGTCCTGGTACCCTTGGCTTCCATTTTGGCTGTGCATATCCTGAGGCGCTGGAGAGTACATACGATACCACTATTTTCTTCTCTAGGGTGTCTGCTTTAAGAAAATATATAATGTTTGGGGGTTTTGTGTAATCTTCAGGCCTAATATGATTTTTCTAAATGTGTGCAAAAAAATGTGCAAAAAAACGGCTCTGGCAGCGAAAGGGTTAAAGGAGTAGCTGTGACTACTACAGTGATTTCCAGCTTCTAGCGGGATCCCACAGATATGGAATATGTAGTTACAATGGCCCAAGCTGGACCAACAAAGAGATTGTTCTCTCTGTACAAAACCCTGTGTTGATTCTCTTCCTGTGTTGTGATTGGACACAGCCGATCAGCAGATCCCAGCCATGAATCAGTGGTCGGGACCTGCTGACAAAATCCTGCTGTGTCTAATCAAAGTGGAAGTTGGCGGGGGGGGGGGGGCACATGCCCTGTACCGGAAGAGGCCAGCAACCTACAGGTACTTTGTTCTGCCTTTATGGGCTGCCCGTCCGCAGTACATTTCAGGTGGGCGGTCCTGAAGTGGTTAAACATGCAAAAAAAAATCAAAAACAACTCTGACAGCAAAAGGGCTAAATAATAACCCAACCCAACAGTGATATCTTCTTGTTTTATTTGGTTCAGGTCCTCCAGGAGCTTGTGTAATAATGTGCAAGTATGCACAGCGTATTTGCACAGTGTGGCACTCTCGTACAGATATAATAAAACGTGGTCAATAGTATTTTCAATAAACTAAAAGGGATCAAATAAGAGATCATTGTTGGGTTTACAGACGATTTAATGGGTAATCCAGCAGTTACATTAAGATTTCCTATGTAATGGTTATATCACATGACTGGGCACTCAGAGTCCATGAGAAGCTCCTGCACCTATCTTTGGTGGACCTGGGAACCCAGATGTTCATGAAAGATGCCAAGAGTTTCTGCCACATACTGTGGCCTCAGAGGTCCTCAGTGAGCACTCTAGCAGGTAAACCCATCGAGATGGTGGCCCCATTTTATCACACTGAGAAGGTGGTGCCCCGTTTTATCACACTGAGGTGGTGCCCCCTGTTTTATAACACTGAGAAGGTGGTGCTCCGTTTTATCACACTGAGAAGGTGGTGCCCCCTGTTTTATCACACTGAGAAGGTGGTGCCCCCCGTTTTATCACACTGAAGGTGGTGCCCCTGTTTTTTTGAGGTGGTGCCCCCTGTTTTATCACACTGAAGAAGGTGGTGCCCCCTGTTTTTATCACACTGAGAAGGTGGTGCCCCCTGTTTTTATCACACTGAGAAGGTGGTGCCCCCTGTTTTATCACACTGAGAAGGTGGTGCCCCCTGTTTTATCACACACTGCCCCCTGTTTTATCACACTGAAGGTGGTGCTCCCTGTTTTTATCACACTGAGAAGGTGGTGCTCCCTGTTTTATCACACTGAGAAGGTGGTGCTCCCTGTTTTATCACACTGAGAAGGTGGTGCCCCCTGTTTTATCACACTGAGAAGGTGGTGCTGCCCCTCTTTTATCACACTGAGAAGGTGGTGCCCCCTGTTTTATCACACTGAGAAGGTGGTGCTCCCTTTTTATCACACTGAGAAGGTGGTGCCCCTGTTTTATCACACTGAGAAGGTGTGCTCCCTGTTTTATCACACTGAGAAGGTGGTGCCCCCTGTTTTATCACACTGAGAAGGTGGTGCCCCGTTTTATCACACTGAGAAGGTGGTGCCCCTGTTTTATCACATTGAGAAGGTGGTGCCCTGTTTTATCACACTAAAAAGGTGGTGCCCCCTGTTTTTATCACACTGAGAAGGTGGTGGTGCTGAGAAGGTGGTGCTGTTTTATCCCTCTTTTATCACACTGAGAAGGTGGTGCCCCCCTTTTATCACACTGAGAAGGTGGTGGTGCCCCTCTTTTATCACACTGAGAAGGTGGGTGCTCCCTGTTTTATCACACTGAGAAGGTGGTGCTCCCTGTTTTATCACACTGAGAAGGTGGTGCTCCCTGTTTTATCACACTGAGAAGGTGGTGCCCCCTTTTTTGATACTTTTGGTACTACTCCACCCTGTAAACCCGCTCAAACGACAACTTTTGGATTGCATCCGGGATACACATGGAAACATCTGACAGCAGATGAAGGCACCTCTCTATGCATTGTATTCACTCTCCATGTCCCCAGAAATCTAATTTCCTACTTGTGTCACTGGCTCATTGCTTTTATCTTGTACAACATTGAGACTGATTGTGTGATCACAGCAGGCAGAGCCTCCCACCTAGAGCTCTCACTTGCAAGTGAGGTTGGCTGGAATTCTTCCAATGTTTATAAATGACTTCAATAATTTTTTTCTCTCAAGAAAGGTTTTACTTGTACTTTAGTGTCTCATGTCCCTGCATCCTTATAAAATATTATTTTGTTTATCCTACAGACTTCAATACTGACCTGCAAGTGGGAGACATCCTCCTGTACATCGTTCTTCCCGTAGCAGTGCTTACCATCCTGCTGATCGCTTTCCTTGTCATTATCCTCCGTCACCGCAAGCGGCAGATGAAGAAGCCACAGATCAGCCTGTGAGTGAGATCAGAGAGGTGTGGAGGAGACCAGAGGGGACCTCTGTGTTTGCATCCTCCAACTTCTGCCTTATATCTGTTCAACTTTGTATTAGTATTACAGAAGACCTGTCACGAAGGTCTATGATCGGTTCAGGTATTTGTGAAAAATAGTGCAAGAGCTAAAGCACACCTTTACTTTATTAATGACCATAATTCTGATTCATGATGTAGTTACATCTCCCATTGATGGAGGCCAAGTATGGTACCCTCTTTATTCCTGAGTGTTTGTCTGGTGATAGTAGCAGATTAGCCTGTGGAATTTACCTTGATTACCTTCTAAAGTGACTAGCCTCAGGTGATACACAGAGATGAAACACATCATCCTACTTAAGTTGTACCTGTTTATCTGCATTTTCTTTTTTTTTTTTTTTTTTTTTTTTTACAGCCATTCAAAGTGCAGAATTTATACAGCTTGTTTGAGAGTTCAGATAAAAGAGGGCAGTGAGCTGAAGTTACACTCTGTAGAGCTCATTGAGGAGAGTTCTGGGAGCTGATTGGAGGGAAAAGACACACACCCCCTCAACACAGCTCACAGAAACAGAGCTGTGGCTGTCAATTTGCTGGAGCTCCCTTCCATGTCGCCATATTTACACCTTGGTGTAAGGAAAACTTGTCAGATGTGGCTCATGTTGATAGCAGAGGAAGGAACAGACAGAAATTACACTTGCTTCTCCTAATTGAGACAAGTACACACTATAGAGCAGTGGTCTCCAAACTGTGGCCCAGGGGCCAGATGTGGCCCTTTGCTTTTATCCGGCCCTTGAGGCATTATTCCCACCCATTGGCAGCAAAAGTGGGGAGCAGTTCCTGCCACTGACAATGAGGCACTATTCCTCCCACTGACACCAATGATAGAGCACTATTTCTCCCATTAATACCAATGATGGGGCACTATTTCTCCCACTGAAACCAGCAATGGAACACTACTCTTCCCACTGACACCGGTGATGGGGCACTGTTTCTCCCATTGATACCAATGATGGGGCATTATTTCTCCCACTGAAACCAGCAATGGAGCACTACTCTTCCCACTGACACCGATGATGGGGCACTATTTCTCCCATTGATACCAATGATGGGACACTATTCCTCCCACTGAAACCAGCAATGAAGCACTATTCCTTCCATTGACACCATTGATGGGGCTCTATTCCTCCTATTGATAATGGCCCTTTGTTTAGAAAGTTTGGAGACTCCTGCTATAGAGAGATATGCTCTGTTCATATTTCAGGTCTGGGGTTTCCACCCGCTCTAAAGAACACCTAAAGATATATGCCATTTTTTTTTTCTCCCATTGAGGAATGCTAAGTATGGTACCCACTGTAGTCCTTGAGTGCTTGTCTGATGATAGTTGCAGATTAGCCCATGGAATGTACCATGATTTACTTCTAAACACCCAAAAACCATTATCGTTAAAGAAAACCAAAGGGAAAGGGAAGTTTTTTTTTTTCTCTAAGGCTACAGGTGCTCTTTGTTTAGACCTGAACTGACCACAAGTCCCAGCATGTCTTCTGCTAAGCACTGGTGGGATCTACCAGGACCTCTGGTTTTGCCAGGACTCTTTGTCCCAGCTCGGCATGCATTGACGATTGCGCTCAGTCTCTTTTTTTTTTTTTCCTAATTACAGGATCGATGGAGAGAAGAGGACCCCCATCTACAAGGGCAGCCTGCAGTCTGTGAGCAGCACCGCCTCGGACACCCAGCCACTGGTCATGTGATCGCCAAAGCTGGTCAGTTTCTTAGCACTAATCGGTTTAATTCCGTTTTCCGCTTGATGTAAGATTTATATGGATCCTTTCTGCATTGCACGAGATAAAGCATGTTAAATAATTAAACATTCAATAAATCCAAATATCAAAGACAACATCTATTAATTATATTAAGTAAGCTAAACATAAATAATGGAAAATGTTTATATTAAGCATTTAGCCTGTTGAGTTTTTAGCTACAACAATGATTCCATGCGGACCGTCTACAGTAGATCAGGGTCATCGGTACAAGTGAGTCTGGTATAAATTTAAAGAAGAACTATAGTCAAACCTTTATTTTTTCATTTTGGATAGAGTAATGGAAGGTCATAACCCCTGTCAGTTTTATTTTTGCCATCTTGTCCCATTGGGGAGATTTCCCTTCACTTCCTGTCCCATAGCCAAAACAGGAAGCGAGAAGAAATCCCTGCAAACTAAGGGAATCCTTTGGAACCCTCAAGGTCACCAGAACTAGTGTCCCCATTGGAAGATTTCCCTCTATTACTTTTCTGGGGACAACCTAAAATTTGTGATTTTCTTTTACTTTCAATGGTAAGGGAAAAACAGGACAAACAGAGAGGATGAATCTCCCCAAATGGGGACACAGACAGCACTAAAAACCTAATACAGGCGTACCTCGGTTTACGAATGCCTCGGTTTAACGTAATTTTCGGTTTACAAATGAAAATCCATTTAATATAATGGCTCGGTTTACAAATTTTTTTCGCAATACGAACAGATTAATTGGTTTTCAATGCATTTGCAAATTTTTTTTTAACCATGTCCCAGTACAGTACTATGCCTTTAAAGTGCACTTTATAAAGAGTTTTGAAACACTTTTTTTTTTTTTTTTTTTACTTTTTTCTGACTTCCGGAACGGATTAATTGGTTTTCAATGCATTTACAATTTTTTTTTTAATCATGTCCCTTTATGCCTTTAAAGTGCACTCTATGAAGAGTTTTGAACAGATAAAACTTTTGACTTTTTTCTGACTTCCAGGATGGACTAATTGGTTTTCAATGCATTTACAAATTAATTTTTAATCATGGCCCTGTACAGTATTTATGCCTTTAAAGTGCACTTTATAAAAAGTTTTGAACAGATAAAAGACTTTTTCAAAAAAAACTTTTTTCTGACCTCAGGTAAAACGGACTTTTTTTCTGACTTCCAGGATGGACTAATTGGTTTTCAATGCATTTACAAATTAATTTTTAAATCATGGCCCTGTACAGTATTTATGCCTTTAAAGTGCACTTTATAAAAAGTTTTGAACAGATAAAAGACTTTTTTAAAAAAATGACCTCCGGACGGATTGATTGGTTTTCAGTGCATTCCTATGGGAAACTGTGTTTCGGTTTACAAATTTTTCGCAATACGAAAAGTCCCACAGAGTGAATTAAAGTCGTAAACCGAGGTACGCTTGTAAGTGGTCTAATCTCTATCCACACTACTCAAGACGAAAAAAAAAGTTTTGCCTTTGGTTATACTCTAAAGCAGAGTTTCTCAACCAGGGTTCCTCCAGAGGTTGCTAGGAGTTCCTTGAGCAATTTCTGTCTCTCAGATAGGTTCCCATTGACACCATTGATCGTTATCTATAAGGGGGTTATTTCTTCCCAGTGACCACAAGTGTGAGGAGCATTCTTAATAGTGACCATCACACTATTGTATCATGAGGTGTAGATATAGTCATTATTAGTAGGGCTTCTCTGGGACTGGAAAGTTATTTCAAGGGTCCCTCTGTGTTGAAAAGTTTGAGATAGGCTGGGTACTGTCTATGAAAATATCTCTGCACCCGATTTCCCAGCTTCACCCATATCCCACAGTCTGTTTCATTATTAATTTCATATAACTCATCAGTGTCTGAAACTCTTCAATGATTACGCAATATGGCCAAAGGTTTGTAGACGCCTGACCATCACACATGAGTTTTTTAGACATCCCATTCCAAAACTATGACCATTAATATGGAGTTGGACCCCTTTTGCAGCTAGCAGGTGTTATTAGGCAGACTGAATCATTATGAAGAGCACCCTAGGTATCCTCTATATCTATTGCTGAGTCTCCAAGATTGAAAGAACTTTCCAATGAATGAAAGGAGTGGGCCAGAGACAGGCTGAAAAAAGAACTTGATGATGTTGGACGTCCACCAACCAGGAGATGATGTGCTCTTTCTCACTTGCTGCAACTGCCAATGCACATTATGAAAAGCTCAGTGTCCAGTGAAATCAGAGTATGTAATTTTAGAGGATCCTGTACAGATGTATAAGATGGAGTTGAGTTTTAAATAAGGGCCAAAGTCCAACTCCTGCCAACTCTGTTTTTAGCCGTTACAGCAAAAGTTTTTTATGTTTCTTATGGACAAAAGGTTTAAATGATATGAATAAAAGCTGACCATTGTAAGCATCCCTGGCAGTGCTATATGGCCTGTCCCAACCCCTGTAACTGCCAACTGTTAAAAGAAGTGAAAAAAGAACTGGCAGGATCAGCAGGTAACAAAGCTGCCATGGGGGGACTGATTTGTTAATACTAGTGGCACACTTCCTTATAAATATTCTTGTTGACTTTGCCCATCAATTTAACTACTTCCAAAACTGATACATTCAAGGCATGCCGTGAATGATCACCATCACAGTTGCTTGCACTGTCAATCGAACTGTCAAAAATCAAATGCAAGAACTCGAGTGGCCTGGTCAGAGCCCTGACCACAACAATACTGAACACCTTTGGGATGACCAGCCGGTCTTCTCATCCAAAATTAGTACCTGACCACAAACGCATTTTTTAGGCTGAATGGGCAAAAGAGACTCTCACTGAGAATTTATCATCTTATGGAAAGCCTTCTCAGAAAGGTGGAGCCTGCTATAGCTACAAAGGTTAGAGGTTTCCTTATTAATGGCTATGGTTTTGGAATGGGATGCACAACATTCTAATTGATGGTCAGATGTTCACAAACGTCCTATAGGCTCCGTATATTTCTTTCTATATGCAAGTAACCTGTAATACCTATTCATAACTGCCAAGCAGTCGACCTCCTGTGTTCAGTGTGCAACCGTGCAGTTAGTCAGGACGGGACCCAGAAGCTAGTGGAGATCCCTGGCATAGTATTGCCTACTACAGTGATTTCCAGCTTCCAGTGGCATCGGCCAGGTTTAGGTATTCTTAAAACATTTACATTCAAGGCATGCCCTGAATGATAACTGTCACAGTTGCTTGTGCTCTCAGCCGAACTGTCAAGCCATCAAATGGCTGGTGTCATAACTGATCTCATGTGCAGCACCATGGCAGTTGCAGATCAAACAGAGGCTAAGATGATGGCTTCCTTGGCTGAAAAGGATCGGAGGGTTTAGTTCCACTCTAATCAAGTTACATATTAAATAATAAGTAAATTTACCTTTACATCAGAGAAACAAAAGCGGCCCTGTTAAAGTGTGTAAACCTAAAATCTATTCATAGTATGTTTGGCATTCGTTTGCCAGTAACAGTGCTTAAAAAAGAAATGAAAGACAAAACATGCGTGCATGTAGTGCATTCATAAAGTATTCAGACCCCCATCACTTTTTTCAATTTTGTTATGCTGCAGCCCGATACTACAGTTGTTTAAATTCATTTTTTTCCCTCATCAATCTACACTCAGAACCCCATAACGACAAAGTGAGAACAGAATTTTAGAAATGTTTGCAAATGAATGAAAAACTGAAATATCACATTAGTATAAGTATACAGACCCTTTGCACTAACACTTGAAATTTAGCTCAGGTGCCTGGAATTTCTCTTGATTGTTGCTGAGATGTTTCTACACCTTGATTGGAGTCCATCTGTGGTAAATTACATTGATCGGACATGATTTGGAAAGGCACACACCTCTGTATAAAAGGCCTCACAGCTGACAATGCATACTGTATCAGAGCAAAAGCTATGTTCAAAGGAACTGCCTGCAGAGCTCAGAGACAGGATTATTGCAAGGAACAGATCTGGGGATGGCTACAGACTTCTGCTGCACTGAACGTTCCCAAGAGCACAGGGGCCTCCATAATTCTCAAATGGAAGAAGTTTAGCACAACTAGGACTCTTCCAAGAGCTGGTTGCCCGGCCAAACTGAGCAAATGGGGGGGGGGGGGGGGGCATTAGTAAGACAGGTGACCAACAGCCCGATGGTCACTCTGAGCTCTAGAAATCCTGTGTTGAGATGGGACAAAGTTCCAGAAGCACAACTATCACTGCAGTCCTTCACCAATCTGGACTTTATGGCAGAGCAGCTAGATGGAAGCCTCTCCTCAGTGCAAAACACATGAAAGCCGATTTGGAGTTTGCAAAAAGCTATATATTTCATTCTGAATACCTTTCTTTTTTATAAGGAGGAATGGTAGTATATTGCTCTTCCCCATAAATGGCTGTGCAGGGGGGGGGGGGGGGGGGGATCAGTACAACTCTGACCATGCCGGGATGGGTGTGCTCTCATGCCTAGTGTGGTCAGTTTTGCGTAGGAAAGCAGGAGGACTGCCAGGATCACTAGGAATTTCACACAATCTAAGCAATACAAAGCGAATAGGATATTTTATAACATAAGTATTTCTGGCGTATCTACCTGTCACTGTCTGCCACTGATTACTGGCGGTTGGGGACAGATGATTGGGGCTGGAGGTAGCCCTTTGGTGTCCATCCATAATCGCTGCAGGTAATCTGAGCTGCCATCTCATCACACACACCTGTGTTCCTGCCACAGGAATCAGCAGATTCTTGCAGCTGGAATTTGCAGGGTGTGCCCTCGCCCTCATGAACGTAATATACATTGAAGTTTTTTTCGATTCATAAATAGACTAAACACGTCTGTTCTATCTGCCTACATTACACTTTAATTGGGTTTTTTTTCTTTTTCCCTTTTTTTTTAGTTATGTAGAAATTTGCACTAGTTGCCCTCTGACATCTTTTTAACAAGCAGGCCAATGTACAAAGAAATGCAGAACGAATG